GAAGGATTGTCATCATTGTTTGGTCCTTCACCAGGATATCCTTTGGTGCTGTCAAAGATCTTACCAGTAGTGCGGTCCTGCATAGAGAAATTCGAAGCCACGCGGGAGTACACTGACCACAAGAAAATCCTTGTGTCCGCCAGTCTGGATGACCCACTGGATTTCTCCTCTTCCGGAGAAACTTCTGGCGCTTTGCCCTTCCCTCCAGTGTCACCGCTTGTCTCACCTCCAGCATCTTCAATGGGAATAAGGATTCATTGTTCCCTTGATCAAGCACCGCATCCTCTAGTCCAAGAACTTCCAGCATCGCTGTCGAAGGATCCACCTCCTCATCCGCATCGTCGTCCATCCTTCTCCAGAGAGCCTCCAATTGGTCCGCACAAGTCGCCGCTTGAAGAAACTCCATCAACCGAGCCCTCCCGCGCTGCCAGAGAAATTCTGAAACCATCACCGACCCTTGTGCTCCCAGATTCAGGAATGGGTGAACCATTTTGGCTACCCTCGCCATAAGTTCAATATGAACTTCCATGCCTGGACTGCGGCTCCAATCATAGGCAATTGCCTCCATAGCAGTACCAAACTTGTCCGTATTCTTGAATTCCCCTTCCAGACCAGGAGACAACAAGGCACCCATCACCGAAAGAGGGTAATTCCCCACCGCCGGCAAGCACGGGTTGTCATGGAACGAATGATGCAGGTCAGTATAATATCCTTGATCTCTCCTTTGAAAAAGGAGTGTTCCAGTCCCTAGCTGGGCATTCATTTCATCCACTTGAACCATTTCAGCACATATCCTCTGTGCCAGGTGCGCCATTGCTGGCCAGACGGTACGATCGGTCAGACCGCGACGCATAACCCAATCAGTTGTTGGCGACTGGATCAGCGTTCCTGGATCATACACCATAACCATTGCACCGTCTCCCATTGACTGATCAGCATCGTCCTCCAGTGCCAGGTTCTCATCCTGTTCGCTTGCACCCTCGGATGACATGCTAATAACCAAATTTCGATCCATCTTATTGGACCCTTTTTGGCAATCTCTTTGCCCCATTGGCAACTTGCCAACTGCAACCTTCCAATAAATTCGAGTCAGAAGGCCTTTCACCAGCAATTGCTGAAGGTCACTCCTCACCGGACCACCATCCAACATCTTCGCATCATTACCACGGAGATCATTGCTCCCGCCTTCTCCTTCTTTTTGGTCGGTCTCCTCGCCAGAAATCTGTACTGCTCCTTCCGGCGCCGTCTCCTGTCCAGCCACTTCATGCCCAGGAAGAACTTGAGCGCTTTCAGAGACATTCACCTGTCCAGCAGCACCTTGCCCAGGTAAAACCTCATCCGTGGAGCCCACCGCCAGCGAACCAACCATAACTGAACCATCCCTTGTTCTTTTTTGAGACCGTTCAGCTCGACGAGAAGGTTGTGGTAGCGAAAAAACTTGTGAAGTCACTTCTTGGCGGGTCTCCCCCCGCGACGCTTTGTCGCGCCCTTCGCCAAGGTGAACCGATTTTTTCGGCCCATCATTGGAGCCTGAAGAACCACTTTGTGGAACATTGCCACGACTCGCAGTTCTCCACGAATCCCTTTCTTGCAAAAAGAGTTCCTTCAGGCGTTGTACCGCATTGGTCTCCTCCTCGCTTGAATCGCTTGAGGAAGCGGCATACGAGACCAAAGCCTCCGCCTGGTCATCATCATCCACCACATCTGCCCACGCTCTGCTGAATGGATACGACAAACCACCACGAGGTTTCACCGGCTCCAGTGGCTTCGGTTTTTCCACCACTTCCGCCAGTTGCACTCGTCGTTGTGACCGAGATCGTGGCACCTGTCGCACCTGTTTTTTGTCCAGCAAGGGCCTTCCCCTTCTTACAGGGTTTGATCTTGACCGATACTTTTTCGTTGGTGGATTCACCGGCGGCATTCCAACTCCCACCAACCGCAGCTTCTGTACGCACAACGGAGACCTCTGCGCAAGCGTCCAACCATCACGGTACCTGACCTTATCAAAAAGCTCCCGATAGGAACCTCTCGGCATAGTTTTTGCACCGGAGTCTTCAGCTTCACGCACCTGAGTGAGGGTTCGCACCGCCGCTCTTCCAGTCCCTTTGTTCCCAGAAGATTGTTGTACCCGTACAGATGCATCAGAAGGAACTGCCTTTTCCGGTCCTCCCGGTCGATATCGGACCTCACCCACCAATTGCAGAATTTTGCATGCGGTCACTTTGTTGATCCCTTTGTCAACCAAATCTTCCACAAAGATGAACTCTTGCAAGTCCGACACATTGGTCACCCCAAGCGTAATCATCACCTCACTTACATGAGGGGTATACACCCACAGGTGTGCGTTGCGAGCCATCCAATTTGCAATCGGCTCCTCCGGATTGTGAAAGCTGAGTACTAGTGGATGCAGCCACCGAATTCTTTTGCTCATCAGCTTCTACTTCATCCAGAATACCTTTTTCACCATCTTTTTGTGACACATTGGTCATTTGCAGTGCTTTTGGTGCCGAGGATGAGGAAGATTCAGCTCCCCCACTCGCAGGTGGCTGAAAAGTGCTTCTATCCGTAAGCTCCCATCCTCTCTCTTTTTCAAACCGGACCTGATTGGCCACCTGTACCAAGTGTTTCAGGAGCGACAGCCGCTCCTCTGACATCTCGTCATGGGAGTACTTGCAGAAATTTAACCCTTTCCGGCAACGTCCTCTGAGGTAATAATCGAAACAGCAATGGTGGAACCCTGCGTCCCTTAGTGACTTCCTGGAAGCATTGTCCCAAGCTTTGCCGGGCTCCCAAGTCCCTTCCAATGCTACATCATCGTTGTGAAGGTACCTGCATGCAGTCCCATATTTACAACCACCTTGATTGTAATACAGACACAGCCGACCTTTTGGCTCACCCGACGTAGGCTCACCCTTTGATGCACCTTTGCCAAAATTGTACTTGGCCCGGAAGGCTAAATCCTCCCGCTCCTGCTGTGCCTCATCCACTGTACCTTCCTCTGTGGGAGGGTCACCGATGTTCCCGTCCTCATCATCAGCTTCTTGGCTATTCTTTGGATCAGTTGACCCCCCTTCTGGCCAACCTTCACCGTACCGACGATGCTCATAGGGACACCCATCGCCATTGCGACACCTTCCCTTATTGAAGAACCTGCACAGCTTGCTGTAACCAGGTGACAACACCGTCTTTGGTGTCATGTAAGCCTTTTTGTACTGGTCAGGATCCATGTAGGCTTCCATTGGCTTGTTCTCCCTTTTGCTCATGGATTGCACTGCACCATCAAGCTCCTGCAAAAATAGCTTGGTGTCCAACCAAAGCGCGTTCCAAAACTCATCTTCCCCTTGATTCAGCACCGTTGCCACCGCTTCACCCACAACTGGTCGAGAAAATCTCCTTTTTCTGCATGCCAGTTCGAAAAGCGCGTTGTGGTACTGTTTTCGGGAAAAAGTGGTTAACTTCCCCAAGCCTGTGCTTTCTGTACCATCAGGCTTCCAACCATCATTTTGCAAGATGCCATACGCGCGCCGAGCTTCCGCATTGAGGAATGCCTGATCCGCAACACACTCCTGTAAATCTTCCATCGGCCGACCTAACAGCATCCCAGTAATTTTGCCAACATAGGCTTCCTCTTCATTTCCATTCTCCAGAAGAGCTTTGTAGATCTTTTCTCCATAAAGTTGCCTTTCTTTTCGTTCTTCAGAAGACAACTCCTGTACCACAAGCTCTTCATCGGATTGCTCTTCCTCCTGTTTCCAGTCCCATTGACCGTTGGAATCTTGGTACCATTGACCAGCATACCATGAATCCGTCCACCACGTACTCCAGCCGCTGGGTTTCCACTTCCGCAGCGTCGAAGAAGAGTCCTCCGCGCCCTCTTCCAAAACCAGAAAGGTGTCCAAGATTATGGTACCATCATCTTCCACTCGTTTCACTGTTCCATTGACAGTATCACCAAACTTGAACTGATATGCATTGTTCCCTTCTGCAGGAATCAATACATTCATATCCCCATGGTCCAAAAAGGCTCCATACCCATTGATGCAGCGCACTAGTCTCCCTCTTGATAGCAATGTGGCCCAGGTGACTCCAAGGCTCCCGCTCGGGGCACTTTCTTTACTTGTAGGTATCAAAAACAAAACTGCATTGTGAGCATCGAATGTATACGAGACTTCAGAATCTATAAAACAAAGGAGTAATCAAAACAGCTTCCCTCACAAATTCCGCGCACTGCTTTGTTTTACTGCTAGGCGATGGGACGTCTGCCCAAACCGGGACGGTTGCAGTGAGAACACAGAACAGGACTGATGCACACAACTGCATCAAAGGTCACACCATCGCACACGACTGCAATGAGTGCCCAAACCGGGACGGTTGCAGTGAGAACACAACTGCATCAAAGGTCACACCATCGCACACGACTGCAATGAGTGCCCGAGTGACAGACTTCCCCCCCGAGACAAACCTCTTTGGGTGGGTGGGTGGGAACAAAGAAATCTTGAAGGCCAAAAACAATGGCCAGCTTCCTTGACTTGAGGTGGAGCGAGCGACGCATCACATGCTTTGTCTGAAACTCACAAAACAACCAGACTCTGGCAATGTGACAAACAAAGACAAGCAAGAAACTCAGCTCCCGAAAATGCCAACAATGCAGACGTGTTGTTTATGCAAAACTCATAAACACACTTTTGGTTTTTTGAGACCTACAAAACCCCATCTGCAAGCAGAGAGGTAGCTTGTAGGTATCAAAAACAAAACTGCATTGTGAGCATCGAATGTATACGAGACTTCAGAATCTATAAAACAAAGGAGTAATCAAAACAGCTTCCCTCACAAATTCCGCGCACTGCTTTGTTTTACTGCTAGGCGATGGGACGTCTGCCCAAACCGGGACGGTTGCAGTGAGAACACAGAACAGGACTGATGCACACAACTGCATCAAAGGTCACACCATCGCACACGACTGCAATGAGTGCCCGAGTGACAGACTTCCCACCGCAACGTCATCGGGCCGATTTGAGCAAGTCCTGGACGAGGGATAGCAGATCACAATGGACCCTGTGAACGCCTTCAAGCTCTGTGAAGTCTCCCCTGGAGGGGGCATCTGAAATGTTGGCTTCCGAACTCACACGCTCGAACCAGAGAGAGGATACGCATGCCTCTTCACACGACACAAGCGCATCAAGCAAAGGTTCGAGGCAATCGCACGAGCTCTTACAGGAAATGAAGGACCCAAGTGCACCATCGTTATCAAGGAAAGCCAACACTTCTCTGCCCTGAATATCGTTTTTGAAAAGCTGCAAAGCAGCAATCAAGGCCAATGCCTCAAGGACATAGATGGGATTTTGGGCCGTGTCGACTCCCAACAAGCGCAGCACATCACCTGTGCACTCAACCCCATAACATGCCTTGATACAAGCCGTTGAGTCAACTAGCACCCCCCCTAAACCCGAGTAACCACCCGGCTCAAAGCATGCGTCGGTGTACAAGAAAACTGTGTCATCGAGCACAGCGCGCACGGTTCTTGGCGGGCCATTAACCACACGGTCCCTGATGAATCGCAGTGAATCAGCCATCTGCGGATCGATCCTTCCGGGACGGTCGGACTTAATGCGCGACCCAACAACCTTCAGGTGCTTGTAACAACCCCTTCCGAAGATCTGGCCTTCAGCGAAAACAAGTCGCCCCCTGAGAGCGGTCAGTTCCTTGATGCTGAAGGTACCCTTGTCAAGGAGCGCTGTTATGGTGTCAGTGAGCTCAGCTTTTCGCTCATCGGTGTTGCTGACCCTAACCAACATGCATGACCCCACATCTATTGCAACCCCAAGGACCTTTGCAGCAGTCGCAAACTCTGCCTCCTTTTCCTCGGAAATGCCCCAGCCAAGCAAAGCGAAGAACGATGACAAGACGAGGTCACAGTGCTTAGACACGCTTGCCTCACAAGTAACCAGATAATCATCGAAGTACACGGACCAATGTAGCCACAGCAGGACCGTGCCTGCGTACCATAACGCATGCGAGGTCCTGCAAAAGCCTGTGACAGATGCAGACCCTCCAAAAGGGAGGACTGAAGAACTAAACACCTCAACCCTACCTGTGGCGGGATTGCCAACACACAAGTACCCATCAAGAACCCCTTCAGAGGACAAGGCCAGCTGCTTGAAGGCCTTCCTCAGGTCTTTGGACTTAAGCACGGGGTTGTTGGGCACAGGGACCGTCGCCCGGTGTTGGAACCTCCAAGTAAGTGACCTGCAGATGGTGTCAAGCCCATGTGGTGTCACAGCCTCCGTTCGAGACGTAGTCGAGTTGATAAGCGACTCACTCAGGTCGTCAATCGGCCTGACCTTCCCCGACTGGAAAACGGCAAATCTCCTGGACACCGAAGCGCGATCGTCAAGTGTAGATGGGTCCACTGGGCCCTGCAACCAACCCTTGTCCCTTTCCTCGAGCGTTATCTCATATAGGCGCGAGGCATGCTCATCGCGCAGGCCCTCAGCTGCCCCTAGGAGAATGCCCTGCCTAGTGTGCTTTGCAGTTCGGCGGACCTCGTCGGGTGTGAGGGTGGCAGGAACGGTTTTGGACCTGAACACACCTGCCTCTGGAATGTGCCCCATGAGATCGAAGCCGCTGGCAATCTGGTCAACAATGCCAACGTCACAGTAACCGGCGTCTTGTAGCATCTCTTTGAGGAGAAGCAACCGCTTGCCATGAAGAACAACCGAAACGTGCTCCGGCATGCTCTCATGCAGCCGCCTTTCACTATCCAAGAGCTCCTGGGCGCGCAGCGTCCACTTGCGAAGTACCGCTGTCCTGTCCTGGGCCAAACTATGGGCCGAGCACCTCGCCTCCTTGTCAATGGCTTCCTTGACGCACAAGGGGACGACACAAGCTTGCAGCGGGTGCTCCCTGGCAGCAGCCTCTTCAACGAACTCCTTAGGGGACCACGGTAGGCCATACACGGCAGAGGCAGCAGACACAGGTTCAGCCCCAACTGGATTGCTCCAATGGGAAGGGGGCTGAAAGCCCATTCCACACAAGGTATCGAGTTGAGACTTGTCAAAGTGCGGGTCCTTACACGTATACAAGACAACAGCCCACCTGTCACCTTGCCACTCCTCAGTTGCATGCAGCACAGACCTTGCGTTAAAGGTGGCAAACCTGGCATGGTTGTCAACATAGAACCCACGATGTTCCACTCCTGTCGCGTCGCTGAGGAGGTCGTCACCGCCGCCACCTGCGAGGAAAAGGCGGCCAGCAGTAAAACTTCCCAGCGTCATCGAGTGGTTCAAGGAGCCTTCACCATTGGAGACATCCCTGTGTGGCAACGCAAGCTCGTTATGCGACACGGCAATCGAGGTCCAAGTGGCATGCGGCAACAAGGCCTTCGCAAAAGAGTTGATGACACCAACAGCTTTCTCTCGACCTTTAGTGTACGCTGTGAGGCCCGACCTTGAACCATGGTTGTATGCCCCAAAGACAAAATACCTAGACCCCTTTGTACCACTCCCCGAACCCTTGAGGACCCCTGGACGACGGGAGGAGAGGTCCTCGGAGCAAGCCTCGCCCAGGACCTTCAGCAGGGCCCGGGCTTGATCATCAGACAGGCTGGCAGACATAGGGAACGGAGGGGACGACTGAGCTTCAAGTCCAGCACGATCGAGTTCGCTCTGACCGACATCCCCCAAAGGCAAAGTCAGAGCAAGACGGCGAGAACCTTTCGGAAGCAGAGCCACTGACGGCGACGATTTGACCTGGGGCGGCAGCGAGACCGCCTCGGGCAACTTGGCGGGCAAGGCAAGGGTAGAGGCGGGACCCACTAGGGTAACCACAAGCTTAAACTCGGTAACTAGGGGAGGCAAGCGCTTGGAGCGCGGTTGGCGCTGAGCGGCCGCCGCCTGGGCAGCAGCAGACACAGGGTGCACGTCGAGACCCTGGAGGTCGCGAGGGCGGGGCTGTGCACCGTGATGCAGGAGCTCAGCGGAGAGACACTCAGACCAAGCCCTGCAAAGCTGAGGAGGGTAAGCAGAGTTCGAAGTGGACGCCCAAACCCCAGTGGCAGGGTCCCGCCCCCAAGGAGCATGAACATGGTCTTTGGAGCACAACTTGCCTAAGCCTTGCAGGTGAGTGCCAAGGTGTTGCAGCTGCGTGTACGTGTCACGACCGCTGCCAAACATACAATGATGCCAGAAGGTGCAGACAAGATCGGGCAATGCACGAACAGGAGCCCACTGTGAGGTTTGCCACAGATAGGATCGCCCAGGGTTCTCAGCAGATGGCAAAATGCCAGCATGAAAGCAAAATTGGAACAGCCAAGCCGAATACGCATACAAATCGTTTGCTGCATCCACAAGGGACTGCGACGCAGCAGGCAAAGACGGCAAGCCATCTGGAAAAAGGTCTGAACGTAATTGTGGAGGGTCGGGACCAGTACGCCGACGACGATCCCTGGCGCGGGATGCCGTGTTGTACGGGGGGGCCAGATGGATTGCAACAACGGAATCCAGGCGCAAGATAGCCTCGAGGGCATCTCTGCCAGCAGGATCGGATAAATCAAGCCGCAGGAGCGGACCAAGCACAGCTCTCCGCACATGCAAGTCAACCCCGAAACTATCACCCAACCCAATCCTACGAACCGCAGCAGTCAACGCAGCTGTCCCGGCGAAAATTTCGACAAAAACTAGTGAAGATAGGGGCCGGCCTCGCACTCTAGCCCGAAGCCGATCGGCAAAGGTCGTCAAGGCAGGCCCAACGGGCTGCGGCACTCACCGGCCCGGGTGCTGACACAAGGAGTGCTTCTGATAGCACCCGGGCATCATGCACACGTGGAGACCACGGGGACAATCGTCGCCATTGGGGCAACCCTTTGCCAAGTTAAAAGCCCAACAGATGCGCCGGCCCTCAGGCGTTTTGCTATGCATACCCGCCTTGGTGTAAGACTGGGACTGGGAATCCTTGCGAGTACCAGCCGGTCGGGGGGCTGCAGGCAACAGTGGAGGGGGGGCAGAGCCTCCTCCTGCGGCACGCGGCGGCGCACTACCCGCACGTTTCCTTTTGCGCCTGGTGGAAGGCCCAGGAGCCCCGAGTGAGGAAGCAACTGGCTCAGCTGACGTACCTCGCGCTGGACGCGAGACGCCACCAGAGGACCCCGGCATAGGCAGGAGGTGGAACATAACCTGGTGCTGTGCCTGCAAGCGCTGAAAGGCCTCGTCCATGGGCAACAGGCCCGCAGAGTCCTTGCGCAGCGTGGACAAAGTCTCGGCCATGTACTGAAAGGCAGCCCTGTCGGCACGCAGGAGCTGCTCATGAGTAGCAGCCCGAAAGCCTGGGGGCGGGTGCATTTGCAGCTGGTTCAGCAACGTTCGGGACCAGTTCTCAGCATGCTCAAAGGAGGCGAGGCCCACGAGATCCAGTGCCAAGCTGCGCCGGGTCAGGGCCTGTGCCAGGGCCAAATCTGAGGACAGGACACAAGCATCACGGACCGGAGCACTGCGAACCTGAAGATGTGACGTCGCATCAACAACCAGTTCCTTCGGGGACCGCTCCTGGGCTACCTCAGCTGCCCTAGTCCCAAAGCGCTCAAGCTTCAAGTAGGAGATGGCGTTCTCCTGAAACATTCGGAAGACAAGCTGATACGCAGAATGACTCACCTCGAGAGCGCCAGACAACTCGAGACCACGAAGCCTGGCTTTCTGATCCCTAAGGCGGGTCGAAATCTCTTCCAACGGCATGTCCTTTTTACGGTCTGCATCACCACCCTCAACCTGCAACTTGAGGTTGGCCAAAGCCATGGTCTGGCTCTCAAAGATGAGGCGACGCAAAGAAGCAAGCACACCAGCGGAAACCTCCGCTGGATCCTCCGCATCTTCAGCCGTAGCTGGCGGCGCAACAAGTGCACGAAGCTCCTCTTCAGTAGCCTGCGAGCCCGGCGTGCCCACAGCAAAAGCCGCCTTATTCAGAGTATCGACCCCACGGGCGAGCAGAATGGCCACTGTTGAGGCCGGGAGGCCATGCTCCTTTGCGCGCGTCTCGAAAGTGGCAGTGGAATCCAAAAGCGATGCCATGGGACCTACCTGTGCCGTACAAGTTGCAGCCGAAAACTAAGCACAGACGACAAGCAGACTGAAAACACAAAGCGTCGGGAACAACGCAGCAGTGCACGGCATGCAGATCTTTCTTCACTCGTGAGCTGCAGGTGAACGGTAAGGACTACCCGCAGCAGGGGAAACACTGGCAGGCACTGACACTGCCGCCACAATCCCACGGTATACAAATAGAGGAAAGCACACCACACACCAGCCCGGACGGCACGATGGTTAGTGGCAGGCACCGACACTGCCGCCACGCAAACCCCATGCGTCTCGAAGAAACTTGGTATGCTGCGCACCAACCGCTGTGAAAACTTGCCAACGCCTGGCCAACAGCACAAAACCTGAGCACACAACTGCCCAGCACTGCTGCTTAAGGCTCAACGCGCTGCCTCTTGACTAAAGCCTCAAGCTGCAAGGACAACTGCTCGGGTGTTCTAATGTGTCTGCCACGATCACACTGATTGCAACGAGAAGACTCAAGAACACAATGATTATCAGTCATTCTGAACACACTGGTGATCGAGCGGCCGCACACAAACACACCTCCGATTGCAGATGTCGAACTCGCTGCCAAGTGCAAGGTACCAGTCTTCGAATGCCTCCATACTGTGCATCCCTCACGCCACGCCGGAGGTGGTCGAAGGCGGGGCATTTGCCTGGGGACCCTCGCCAGCGTCACTGCTCGAATCCGACGAGGATGAGGAAGAACTCTCGTCTGTGCTGTCGATCCCACCTTGAAGCGGGGGATCTGAACTAGCAGGGACATCGCATGGAAGGTCTGTCTCAGGTTCAGCACAAGAAGGAATGGGGCCATCCAAATCGTCACCATCAAGAGGTCCCACGTCATCTTCAGTGCTCGCTTCCAGCCGAACTCGTGAGCTTGCTGCGCCATCTGAAAGGCCAGCCGGGCCGAAAACTTCTGCTGGCACACCAGGCAGGATGCTTCCCGGTAAGGTGTCACTCACGACAGGCTCCCCACCTGAGACACTCCGCGAGACTGGGAAATACCCAGAGCGACTAACATCTGGCAGAAATGTCTTCGCCCTGACAGCGGCAAGGCAGGCTTCCAGGGCCCGCAAGGGTTTTGCCTGCAGGTCACGGCTGTACACCGCCAAACTGCCGGTGAGGTCAGAATGGTGGCCCAGCACGAGGCGGTCGGCCTCAGAAGCTCCAAATTTTGCAAGCATGGCTAAGAGGGTCGCCTTCATCGAATGTGCACCTGGTGGCGACCAAGGAAAAAGCGGCCCAACCAGGCGTTCCAAAAGAGAGCGCAGCCAGCATCGTGCGTCCTTCGTAACACAAGGCTCATGGCTCCACCCGCCATCGACGGAGGGTAGCTGCAGGAGTGCAACATGATCTTGTCCAATGGCCTGCAGGGGGCAGCCACATGTCTGAGAGACCTTCAACCACTCAACAGCCCATGGAGTCGCGCCAACACCAAAAACAGGTGCCACCAGTGGCATAGCGCCATGTTTCCTGCGCAGCTTATGCGAGTGACTTTGTAGTTCCACGTAGCCACCACAAACTGTGCCACCATCATTAATGAAATCTTGAAGGAACTGCGACACAGAAATGACATCACCCCAGCGTGCCCGCGCGTAAGTGCAAAAGAGGAAGCACCCACACGCGTACCTGTCCTCGATACGTGCAGATGCATCTCTAAGAAAAGCCTCAAGAAGCAGCAGCTCCTGTACTGTCAATGCACGGGCCTGCTTTCGCTGAGGTCGATCCTGGCGGGCACCCCGAAGGATACCACGTGCCCACGGGGTGTCCAACGTAGATGGCTCAACTGTAACTCCCAGAACATGCTTCGCAAAGTTGACGACCTCAAAGGCAGCCTCGATTGCCGTTGGGGAGACCTTTTGTTTGAGCAACACCTTCAGGTGAACTCGGAAAAAATGGGCTGTAATAGGAAGAGGTTCCTCACAGCCATCCTCAACAAGATTCCGGAGGTACTTCCTGAGCTGGCGCAGCCGTGCTTCAAGGGTCGTATTGGCCTTCCCCGCGAGTGTCTCTGAGACGATGGCCAACTGCTCGACGTACGATGTGGCTGCCTCAAGCATTGGTCCCAAAGTCGACCCACGCGGGTATCTCGTAAGGACATCAAGAAAGCCTTTACATACCAATTCACGTCTATCCTCAGGTGTACATCTCTTTGCCGAGAAAACCATCAGCCTGGAAACCGACATGTAGACAGCTTGATGGACTGGAAATTCAGGCCCACGTGCTTGCGCGTCCACAGCAGGTACCCGAGCAAGATCAAGTTCATTCGAGGTCACAACCATCCGCGGAAGCACAGGCGATGGGCTCCCGAAAATGTCTCTGAAGGGCGCGATATCCCATGGCATCACTAAGTCACCAGTCATGCTGACTGTGGCCATAGCCTCAGCAGCCAGTGCATGGAGTGGGTACCTTGCTGGAGGATCCATGGCAGTTTCTTAAAGTCCAAGAGGGCCTTACAATATACAACCGCTGCTCACATACCAGGCACAGGCAGAGAGCCTGTCGTGGTTAAAGACTCAATCTTATTGCACAAGTAACCCAAAGCAAGGACCAAAAAGCTGGGAAGGAATGTGGCCTAAGGTGGGAAAAGGGGAACAGGGTGAAAATAAGAACCTAGGGGAAAACTCACCATTGAACCACAGGCCCTGCAGGACATCCATAGGTTGCTCGAAAACACGACCCAGCAAGCCGAAAGTCCATGTGGCAGCTCCGACCTCCCCCAGAACCGAGCTGAAACATGTGGTACCCTTTTAACCACCCGCTGCTCAAAGAGTATGTTGACAATTGGCCCCAAAAACCGCGCCTGAAAAAGCAGCGCCTGAACAATGGGCCACACAGTGGAGGGTGCAAGAGGAGGAAACTATCAATGCCTCTCAAGGGCCTGCAAGCGCCTGAGGACAGATCGGCGCGGACTGCGATCACTTGATGTCGTACCTAATGCGTCCTCAAGAGCAGAGATGCGACCTGCAAGGGCCTGCAGCGTCAGTGGTACGTCTGCCAAGGACAGTGAAGACGAAAAGGGCCCAAAAGGGGGGCAAGCACCAGGAGGCACCGAGGTCGAAGGGACACAAATGAGCGAGTCCGTGGGGGCATCAACCACAGAATGCAAGAATGAGATGGAATCCGCCGACAGAGAAGAGAAACGCCCTGCTTCACGGCAGAGTAGAGCCAGGTGCTGCAAGTCGGCGAGGGTGCATGCCTGCAATGCGGACCCCGAAAGCAAAACCATACGACCAACTAAGCAACAGAGCCTATCACGAGAGACAGGCAGAGAGGGTGTTGGCTCAGACCCAGCGGGGTTGATGAAGGCGAAGTCACCCTCCAAGCCATGAGGGTCTGGTGCATCACTGTCAGAGAGAGGCCCCTCGTGAGGAATTTCGGGAGTGCTGCTATCACGGACTGCCCAGTTGCAAGGAAGCAGGATGGCCAAAACGACTGCAAAGGAGCGTAATGGCATGGCACTCAAATGGCACACAAGAATGCTGCAAAGGCAAGAATGCCACAGGTAAAGCCACACAGACAGATAGTGCAGTCACGGCACAGGCCACCAGGGATGGCAGCTGGGGATGCGGGCAAAAGGGAAAGGCGCTGCCTAGCAGCTGCAGCACGAAGGCGCACAGGCGCAGCAACCATGCACTGACACAGTCAGTGAACTACTGCTCTTCGTGCGGCGATGGCCCTGGACAGCCACCTACGCACGGAACTGCACGCGCAACACCCCTTGTTAAGTGAGGGCCTGTTAAACACGAACCTGTTTGGGGCCACACAAGGTTCAAGCAAAACCAAGCCCAACAAAGAAATCTTGAAGGCCAAAAACAATGGCCAGCTTCCTTGACTTGAGGTGGAGCGAGCGACGCATCACATGCTTTGTCTGAAACTCACAAAACAACCAGACTCTGGCAATGTGACAAACAAAGACAAGCAAGAAACTCAGCTCCCGAAAATGCCAACAATGCAGACGTGTTGTTTATGCAAAACTCATAAACACACTTTTGGTTTTTTGAGACCTACAAAACCCTATCTGCAAGCAGAGAGGTAGCACGCTCTTCAGAAACCATCTCTGTATCATCGGCTCCTGGCGCATCCTTTGTCTTCACCTTTGGGTCACACTGCTCGTCCTGCTCCACGAGTCCCACAAGCTCATCTTTTTTGTGCTCCTGGATTTCAGGACCTCCCTTTTCTCCGCCAACGGCTTTGCCTCATCTGCTGTAGTTCGCTCGGTGTCGACTTCCGGTGAACTTCCAGACGGCAACGCTTCTCCCTTCATGGGAGTGGACCCATCATTGGAGTCCTTTGTCTCACCTTCTGCAGCAGGCAAATCTTCTTCCACTGCAGGGCAATTGAGTCGATCATCCACGGCAGGCACGCTTTCTTCCACCGCAGGCTCCTTTGGTTCCATTGCAAGCAAAGCGCATCGCTTTTGCTCTCATGTGCACGCTCAGCCGTAAAGCTCAAGGCCTGCGGACGCATCGCAGAATGGCACATGTCAACATGTCTGGGACGTGAGAATGCTTATGCACTCTTTCAGCCCCCAAAATTATCTTTGACATGTGAACTACTCAGCTTTGTCTTCATTCTACATTCGGACTGCTTGCCTCGGGCTAGCACATCCTTCTCTTCTTCAATTCGAAAGCTGCTGCGGCTCAGTAATCGATGAAGTGGTTCTTCGTGAGCCCCTTGCAGCTTGGTTAGCGCGTCCGCAGGGTTGTAGTTATGAGGTATCCACCTCATGCGCCCCTTCAGCTTAGCCATGCTTTCCTGGATGATTGCCACTTCCAGCGCCGCTCTGTCGTCATCTCCTTGGGCCTGTTCTGTAGCCGCCGAGTCAAACAATGATTTGGCGTCTACCACAGCGACAGCTGCTGGATCCGTGAACTCTGGGGCATCCTCCGCAATCACGGTGGCAGTTCCCCGTAGTCCTCGGGCTGTCTCATCATCCACGGCAATGCTTCGAGGGTCGAATCGCGCCAGGCGAAAACTTTGCCACATGGCCACCTGCTTCTCGAGCGCTCCTACGGCTGCTGACATGGCGATTGACTCGCAGAGCAACGTGTTTGCCGCCTTCCGACGTAGCTTACGAGATCGCCACGCTATGAGGCTCACTGGGGCTTCCCGACCAGCGTTCAAGTCTGGGGTTGTGACTCCCTGAAGCCACCCGTGTTGACTCTTCTCGTTGCCGCTCTTATCGAACGCCGAGTCGCTGATCACGAAGTGCCGAATCTGGTCCTCGGGGATGGAGTGCACCTTCATCACCACGTGATTCGTTTTGAGCCTCTCGATCACTTGGTTGACGGCTAAGACGTGGGACACCATCGGGGATGGAAAAGCTCTCGCCAGTATACTGGCTGCTGCTGACGCATCTGGGCGTCCTTCTCTGGCCACCCAGTTTACTGAAGCGATAGCTCCGCGGAGTTGTCCTTCTTCCTCTGGGCTCAACGGCGTCGTCCCAGCGTCTTTCTTGGCCACTCTCCTGGACATTGTCACGTAGGGTAATCTGTTGAGGATGTAATCAGCCATCGTGTGGGAAAAGGAGTAATCTTTCTTGTCCTGCATCACCCTTCTCCCAGCGTAGGCGGCGCCTTCTGGATGCTGTTGAAGCTCCACGACTTTTCCGAAAGTGAAGATGCTTTCTAGCTTCTTCATCAGGGCTTGGTGTCGTGGCCCTCCAGCTTCCAGCACATCATCCACTTCGATCACTATGATGCCTTGTGTACGGTTCTCGTCCTCGTTCTCTTCCTTCTTCCCATCCAGGGTGAGTACACAGCGGTCGTAGACGTTCACTCTCTAGCCCAGTTGAGACACCAGGACCTCGAGCAAGGACCGCCGCCACCACGCAGGACCGGTGACAAGCCCATACACTTCACCGTTGAGCAGAATCAGTTGTTCTGGCGAGCACCCAGGGAACACCATGTCTGCTGGCTGCTGACACGCCAACTTCTGCTTCCGCGTGGTTGCTTTGCCCTGCAAGAAGGCTGTCTTGGCATCCTTCACCTTGCTTGACCATTTGCGAGTGGCGCACAGCTGCATGTAGAGATACATGCTCTGGGTAAGCGGTGTCGGCGCTGCGCGTTCCACGGAGTGCAGGAGGGGATCTTTCCAACCTACCACGCACCATCTGGATTTGGGAGCCACCTTTTCCATGAACTTCGGGTCCTTCTTTCTGGCATCGAAGTCGTCGGGCAGCGCCTGAAACTGTTCCGTCGGCTTGTACCGGTCCATAAACCTTGAGGTGAGAACATGGTCAGGGTGTTCTCTCCGGAAGCGCCTGCTCTCTTCGACACTCAGAATCGTGACCGCTCCGGAATCCAGCAGCGATTTTGATCTCCTTCTCTCTCGAAGCTCGAAAGATCTTCGTCTCTTCGTGGCTCAACTTGGTGAAGGTAACCTGCCCAGGGCTCTCCTTCTTCTTGGTGAGGTAGAAGAATCGGTCTCGATGGCTGTACAAAGCTTGAGCATCGACTGCTTCAAATGTCTCCTGGTTCTTCGCCGCTTCTCGTGGTATCCATTTGCTTCGGAGGCGGTCATACTTGAGATTCACCCCATCGTGATCGACTTTCTCCTCGTTCGCCATCTCGACAAAGTTGGAGGCGCTGTGTGCCGGAGGCCACGACGCAGGTGGGCTCGAGAATGGAAATGGCATCGGGGTAGCTCGATGTCCTCCCCGCTCTGGTCGCATCGGTCCAAAAGGGAAGCTTCCACTCGATGCTTCATCCACTCGAATGCTGCTTCTCCTTGACGCGGTTGGAGTTGGTCCACCCTCTGGCACACTGGAGAGTGGCTCTCGAGTGCTGGCCCCTTCGCCTGATGTATCTGCTCTTTCTTCCGCGTCTTGGGGAAGTTCCTCTCTTGGAGCGATGTTTTCCTTGGGAATCGCAGACTCTTCCATGGCCACGTCATCGACAGTTGAAGAAAGGGGGGAAGCGGCTGCTTCGTTTTCTTTCTCAGACGTCACCGACGGTTCGTAGTCCATTTCCTCGATGCCCTGAGGCTCTGCCAGGGGTCCACCTTCATTCTCGATGTCGTTGAAGTGCCTCAGAACCCCCGCTTCCAGCTTCTCCAACATCTGCGGAGCGACCACTGCTGCTACTTCAGCGCCAAGCCTTTCCTCCGACGTTGCCAGCCGAACTTGCTCTCGAGAAGCCTTGATCAAGTAGCCTCGCAGCGATATCCACAGAGATCTGCCGTTCGAGCTCTCCGCAACAACCATTCCGGGACCACTCCAGCCAGTGTAATCTGAGGTGGCCCTCCAGACATAGACCATGTCTCCTGTGCACACCGGTTTGACATCGGCTCGTCTCGTGTTGGCTCTTGAAGCTCGTGATACAGCTTCGGCATCTTGTTGTCGCATCCAAGCTTTGCGTGCTACTTCTCGTATCACCAAAGTTCTCTGCATACTGTCCGACTGCGGTGATTGTAGCAGCTCTCTGTCGATCATGTCGTCGCTCAACAAATTCATCGGGATGCGAGGGGTTGCTCCGAAAACTCGCTGGAACGGGCTGAAACCGGACCTGTCGAAGTACTGGTTTCTAGTCCACAACGTCTCCGCAATGGCAATGTCCAGCTCCGTCTCGTCCACAATGCCGGCCTCGTCGATCGTTGTCTGCAACTTCTGTTTGAATATTCCCCCGGCCCTCTCGGTCCTTGAGTTTTGCCAAGGCGACTTCACGTCGGTGTAGTGGATGAGAGTGCCTGCGTCGCTGACGGTCTGCACAAAGAAGGCTCCAGTGAATTCGCCTCCCTGATCCGCCACCAGCATCCTAGGCGCGCCATAGTGTCCACACCATGACTTCATGAAGGCCCTCGTCACCGTCTCGGCCGACTTGTCCGACAACGCTTCAACCCACTGCAGGCTGGTGCCCCAACAAAGGACGTTCAGCATGGCATGCTTCTTCACGTAAAAGAGGTCCACGCCCACAACTTCGTTGAAATCCAGCCTTCTGGAAAGGTGCGCGGGTCGATGGCTTTGTGGCTGTTTCCGGGCCTCACAAATTGGACACAGGAACTCCCTTTTCACCCATCTCAAGATTGATCTCTTGATTCCGGAGTGCCGCAGTGCTCTCAGGAACGTTTGTAGATTGGGATGCCCCAAATTGCGGTGGATGCGGTACACCTCTCGTCTCACATCCGGTGGAACCACTTCTCGTAGTTCGGGACCGCGATCTCGCTCTCCCTGCTCTAGCCGTTGCAATTCTTCACGTAGTTCACTCCCAACCTGCTGCTCATCCTCGTCCTTTGCATCGTACTTGACTCCACCGGCATCTTCCTTGTCCTCGTCGCTGCCAAGCAAGTCCTCTTCGACAATCTCCTCCAGCGATCGCAATCTGGACGAAGAAGACGCTCTGCCGGTGTCACGTCCCTCCAAAATTCTGTGCGAAGGAAACGCGTGGATGGCAGCATCGGAAATGTGATGAAGAAGCCACCATTCCGATTGGAAGGAAGACTCTGACAGCTGATAGTGATACATGTCGTGCGCGGCAGCTTTGGAAAATTCTTGGGCCGCCTGCAAAATGAACCCGGGAACTATGATCTCGGGCGCAATCTCAAAAACTGTGAGACCTGTCCACGGCTGTGCTGTAGCGACCGCGGCTGCATGTCGCCAATCGTCCTGTAGATGGCGAGTTTGTCCATCCACAAGCATCTGTGTCGTGCGACGATGTCCCGTGAAACTCATCTCCGACACCTCGAACACCTCACACTCCTGCGGTACACATAGAGCACGACGAGTTTGGAAATGCCTACAGAGTAGGGCCGTTGGCGTCCTCTGCCAATGGTCGGAGCATCCAAACACCGGAAAATGTCGTACTTGTAGGTGTCGCCGCAGTCCTTTAAGGATTTCGTCCACGAAGATGTCGGTGTAGATTGCGGCATGGCGGGTGGCTTGATTCCCCTCCAGGGAAGCATGCGCGTGTAGTCTCGGACACGTCTTGGCCATGCGTTCAGCGATTTCTTTCACGTTGGTCAGCAAGATGGTTGGCTTGAGCACTGGTTCTCCTTGCTTCGATTTCAGGCCGAATTGACACATGTCCACCATCACTGAGAACACATCCCGATGTTGTCGAAGTCGTCCCAAGCTTTCCCCTTTCCAGGAGTCCGCATATCGGGGATGCTCGAAAAGGAAACCTCGGCCCGCTTTCATTTGTATCTCCGCAATGCGCACAGAGAACTCCACATGTTGCGTTCCCTGCTGGACCTCCTTCTTGACCACTGCCGGGTCCCTCTTGAATGTGGTCAATCGCCTCATAGTCGAGAATGGTCCACACGGAGGGCTCAGCATCACGAGACCAGGACGATGTTGATGAATCAGCTTCAACGCTTCCTTTCGGTGTAGCGGCAGACTGAAATCCCAGCCTGTGCTGAAGTCCATGGCCAATCCGGGTGCCAAACCCATGCGCTGTGCTCTTTTTGTGACCCGAGGTGGAGAGTATACTTCTGCTACATCCCATTTTGCTTGGACGCTCTCCTTGATCTCAGTGATGTCCTTTCGCTGTAGACATTGAATCTTGCCAGTCGCATCGCTGAGACACTCGCTACGGATGCTTGACTGTGGGTATACATAACACCATATAGACCCCAGCCCCGAAGTAGAAGTCGCTGTAGCGCAGTCCTTCTCCGAGGACTTCATATTATAGTCTTCTTCCTGCCCCGAAGTAGAAGTCGTTGTAGCGCAGTCGTTCTTCTCCGAAGACTCCCACTGGTTTGTTGCATGCGACCAAACCAGCTCATCACTGGGGCCGCTGAGAATCCATGGCATTGGCGGTCCGGGACTTTGTGACAACGATATCATCACCAGGATCGCCTTCAGCATCCAACCTCGCTCCACCAGTCGATGCACCAGCTTCTTCGCTGCGAGTTGTGGACACCGACGAAGTTCTTCTGCTTGAACTAGGATTCGCTTGCTCTGGCCTCGTTGATTTCTTCCGGTCTTGCCACCATCTCGGCATCGCTCCACTCTTCTTCCGATCGGGCCATCTCGTACACTTCCGGCAGGGAACTCCGTGTCGGTGTCTTCGAGCGTTGCGCCGGTCGTAGTCCTGCTGGTTGTCTCCGTGGTTTCGCTTTGTTCACCGGAGCTGAAGAAGCATTGAGCCCAGGCTGGAACTCTGTCGTGGTACTCGTGCTCGTGGAACTTGACGCATCGCTTTTCACGGTTCGAGGTCGACCCAGGTGGTCCAGGTTCACCTCCCGAGCCCCCTGTTCTGGTCGTCCTCTTGGCGCCGGCAGGTACTTGGGAAACTCCTTGTGGCCGATCTTGAGCTTCGGGGCCCCGTCGTTCTCGACCACCTTGTTTGGTGTCGTGGTGGCATTCGTGGCGTCCTCCTTCCGACGGTCCCATCTCGCTCCACATCTCGTGCATGTCCACCAAGCGCTCCATTGATTTGCCCGGCACCTCAGAGCATCCGCCGGGTGATTGCACGCTTGAACTTTGATCGGATATTCCCGGTGTACTTTGGACTTGCTCAATTGCTCGCCGATGCCCTGCACGATGTCCACATTGCTCTTCTTCTTCATGCTCCTGTCCTTCTTGGTGTCCGCGCTCGTCACCTCTGGCTCGTCGGTCTCCCGGTGGATCGTCAAATGGTCGATCACTAACTGCTTGCGAGCCGTTGTGAGCATCAGACACAGTGCCAATGTCATCCTCTTCCATGCTGCATCGATCTTCCTGATGCTGCTGCGCTTCTCGGGAGTGAAGCCAGCCGCCTCCGCCGCTGCCATCTGCTCCGCCCGCGCGAGCAGCGACATGTTGTTTGGTAGAAGGGCGAGGAGTGTCAGGAATCCGGGCCGAATTTGCTATCCAGATCGCCACTCGAGCGATCATCCGTTTGAACATTGAGCCTGAGCGACCGAACCATTCATGTCCTGTCATTCGCTCAACATTGTCGAAAACTTCTTCAAGATCATGACTGCACTGGCTACCGGATTCCATCTCATCACCCTCATTGTCGTCATGGATGTAGTATGTCTCGCACTTGCTCGGAAGATGGAAACCCAGCTCTAACAATCTCTGTCTGTTTTCATGGGGAAGGTCATCGGATTTTCGGGCAGTGTACGCTTACAGACACTCGCACTCCCTTCCACGGCATAGTGGCATGGTAACGCTTTGGGCGAAAAAGAAAAGGATTATGCCATGTGTTTCGCAGAACTCCAGGAGTGCGGAAGCCATGCTTGTCCTTCCAGACGATCTTTTCGGACTCTTCCGCAGTGTCTCCGTCGCCCATCTCGAGCCACAGTTCACCTTTGGTGAAAGGACCAAATGAGGTGGTCATCGTGGACGAGCTGGACTCGTTGTTCTTGTCTACATGGATTCTCGCTGCGGTTTGTACATTCACTGCAATGGAGGTCCAGGCGAATTTCGGGGGTGCGTGGCGTTTGACCCATGAGTTGATGTAGCGACACAGATCTTCATGTTCACTCGTCTCGTTCGTGATGCCCGTGTTCTTGCCATGCACGTACATCCCCAGGGTCAAAACATAAGCATCCTTCCCCTTTTTCCATGCAAGATCTAGTCCTCTTCTTGTGTCCCGTGTAGTCCATCAGCACCTTCTCCATGTCCACATGCTCCAATTCGCCTTGATCAGTCTTTCTCTGCAGCTCCAGCTTCCAGTGTTCTTTGGCGAGGTGGATGGCGGTCTTCTTTGTCTCCGAACCCTCCAAGGTTGTAGAGCGCGAAACTGTCGGTGTTGAAGCTGAGGAAGCAGTCGCCATCGCCGAAGAACCACCGCCAACGTTGCCGAAATCCACTGCACAGAGCACCGTCTCCCCAAAAGAAGAGTCGGCAACTTCCCGGCGAAAAGGATCACCACCGTAGTGCGTCACTAACTCAGGAGGCATTTTCCAAGGATGTGTGTCGAAATCCAAGATATTGACGGAACGGTGTCCCGTGGGAAGCCGCTTCAGCGGCGTTTCCATGCCACCGGGCGTGCGAACAACTCCACGATGAAGATCGATGATGGCGTGGATTGCCTCCAAGTACGAAATGGGTAACAAGGGCGGAGTCTGGAACTGGTCGGTGTCTGTAAGAACAGTGAATCAGACTAAGCCCAGAATGCCGAGCATCGAAGTGGGCACATCCACCATATACTTGGGGTGCGCTGCACCACCAATGCCTGCACAAGGAGCGACACCTTGATCCACTTTGCGTACTTGTAGACCATGAAGTGCTAACTCCTTCTCCATGACAGCCAAGGCGCGATCTCCAATGACTGCATCTTCCGCCGCTGTGTCCACCAGAGCTTCGTGAGGCTTCACCGACACTCCTGCGTAGATGTGCACCTGCCGGTTCACTGGAGATTCCAAGGGGACCGAGGTCGTGTTGTTGGTCATGAAGGTGGAGGTCGTAGTGGCGCTGCCGCGGCAAACGACGAAGTTCACTTGTCTCCCTTGTCCCTTGCCGCTGCCTTTCAATGGACAATCTCGTGCCATATGGCCCAGCTCCCGGCAGTTATAGCACTTGGTTCGGGCAGCCAAGTCCTCCTTCGAGCCTCGCACCATTCGACTTGAAGACGTTCGTCCTTTACCTTCACGTCGTCGTCCACCTTTGCCTTCTCGAGAACGTCCACGTTTGCCCTTTCCTTTTGACGCGGTTCTCCCATGGCGGATGAATCCTCGCTCTTTTCTCCGTGCTTGCATGTCCCGCCGCACATCGGTGTATGCGGTGTGGTACGCTTGCAGGAAGATTGCCTCGTCCTCCTCAAACTCCTTGTCTTCATAGAGCATCTCGCCGTCCTCCAGCTCCGCCATTTCGTCCTCTTCATCATCATCTTCATGGTACTCGTAGTCTTCGTCGTCCTCATGACTGAAATCTTCTTCTTCTGCTTGGTTCATTACTGGGTAATGCTTGGCAGCTTGTCCACCACCCAGCTCAGCACTTGCTGCTTGGGCAATGAGATCAGGACGGTCCAGAGGTCGAAGAAGTCGGGCTACTTCCTCGAATCCCATGAGACAGTTCATGTCACGCAGTGCCACCAGCTCTCTCTGAAATTCTGACAACTGCGCATGCCGAAGTAGAATACGTCCTGCCACCTTGTCGTTGAGGCGCTCGCCCAAATGGCTTTCCATGTCTTGTCTTGAGGTCTCTTTTTGGGCGATATACGTGGCGAACGATTGTCCTTTCTGTCTTTCGCCCGTGAAGAAGTACTTGTCCACCGCTGTCGGTCCTGCCACATCCAAGAAAGGCTTGTACTTATTCATGATCACGGTGAGTATCATGCCGTACCCGGCGGGACTCAAGACCTTCTCCAAGGGAATCTGGTCCGCAAACTTCCTCGGCTCGGAAGACTCTGGAAAAGACTGATAAAGCCTGATCCCCCATTTCTCTTTGCCCACAGCAGTCTCTGCTTCCCAATGCGCCAGCAATTTCAGCCACGTCCTCAAAGTACCCGGTTGACCAGACCATGATGGAATGGACCTTTTCTCGCCGGTCAACGCTGCTATGAAACGTTCTGCTTGATCAGGACCTTGACGAGTCGCCACCGAGGGAGGTGGCTTCATTCCCAAAACTTCAAAGGCACTCTCCAATTGTCGCGGCGCCTCTTCTGACGCCTTCTGATCCAGACGCGCCGTTGCCTCTGAAGCGCTCTGAACACCACTAGGTACAGGTGCTCGACCAACGTTGGGAGATGCGGCATCTCGAACGTCTCCGGATGTGCTCCATGTTCTAGGCGGCGGAGTCGTCGAAGTTAGCGAAGGTCCGCCATGCCCCGGAGGTGGCCATCCTGAAGACATAGCCGGCGCGAAAGGCCATGGGGGAGTCGGCGCGAAGGTAGTGGGAAAAGTCGTCGGGCCCCAGGTAGAAGAACTCTCAGCCGCGCCCGACGCCAAGCCCGCAGCAGCGCCCATAGCGCCCATAGTCTCAGCCGCTGAACCCAAACCAACGCCGCGCCCCGCTGCCGCCGCGCCGCTTGCTGAAGCCGCACCTTTGCCAGCTGCACCAACTGCCATGTTCGCCTCAGGAGACGCCGCAAAGGTAGCGTATGTCCCTTGAGGACATCCACTAGCAAACATCCCCTGATGAGGAGTTGGCGGCAGCCAACTTCTAGTCGCATCTCTTCGAGATTCATCAGCAAGAAATCGTCCGTCCAGCACCCCAGGTACTTCACGTTGTCGATCAACATATCCTGCGTTCCTTGCCTGATTGGCAAGATAATCTGCCCATGGATCCATGGCTTCGTCCCTGGAGCAACTCGCTCCGCTACCAACTGCAAGCAAAGCGCATCGCTTTTGCTCTCATGTGCACGCTCAGCCGTAAAGCTCAAGGCCTGCGGACGCATCGCAGAATGGCACATGTCAACATGTCTGGGACGTGAGAATGCTTATGCACTCTTTCACCATGGCCTCCAAAGGAGAATTTCCACCATCATTGACTACAGCTGCCTCATTGGCTCCGGTGTAGCCCTTGTCATTTCGTTCCTCGCTGCTAACTTCAGGTTGCACCAGTGCGTCCACCTGTGAACCTCCATCATCAGCTGCTGCGGAGACCTGCGCCCCATTGTTGCGGTCGCCCGTGGAACGTACCACCACATGCACCTCAACCCGTGCTTCCTTCGCACTCCAGGTAATATCTGGCGCATCAACCCGCGCATCATTGGCGCTCCAGGCCTCATTTTTCAGATCATCCGTGTCTCCAGCTATTCCAGAAGCTTCTTTGTCCCCTTGAATGGCAGAATTCTTGGCACCAAACGAAGAGACCTCCTCAGTCGTAACACACAACTTTTTCTCTCCATCCTCCGAATCTCCAGGACCACCTTCCTGAACAACAGGTACCACATCCACCACTCGCTCTTCTGCAGCCGACACAGTTCCGATCACCTCATTTGGCATTTTCTCTTCTGGATCCACCAATTCCATCGCTGCCCCACCCTCAGAAAGCGCTTCTGTTTCTTCCCGATCCAGGTGTTGAGCTCCAGCGATGTTGGCTTGGTTCCCAGGAATCCCTTCCTCATCAGGAGAACCCGAGGTCGGGGCGTCACCACCAGCCCTAGGACCGCTATCCCTGATAGTAGAGGAAAAATCTTTTTCACCTAAACTATTTACACTACCCTGGAATGCCCTCGTAGACTCAGTCTTCGGAGTAGAGGATGAAGAATCCAGCGCCGCCTCCATTTCCAGCTCATTGCCCAAAGGAGACCCAACCACCTCGTCGCTCTTCACCTTTTCACCTACCACCGGCAATGTCCACTTGGTTTCGTGCGTATCCAGGCAGTAATAATATTGTCTCCCATCTTCATGGAGGTGCAATTCCCACATTGTGCCATCACACGCTTGGATCAGATGCTCGTCTTTCCGAAAACCGTCCCTTTCAGAAACCTGTCGCATCTCGTCCTCTTCTTCTGACAGCTGTCGCAACCGTTCAGCCTCCATCTGTAGGATCTCCTCCCCCCCCATGGCGTATTCAGCAGCAGGTGCAGCTTCAAAGCCGTCCGCACCCTTCTGTTTGTGACCGCTTCCACCACCTTGGGAACTCGAAGATGGACCCTTTTGATCTTGTTCAACGGCCTCCTGGTCGCTTGTAGCACTTCTCCAATCAGATCGGTCTGAGACTCTTGGTCTACCATTCGACCCGAAGTCGAAGACTACGGCTGGTACCCGTGTTTGTGTAACACTCGTAAAACAGTCACCTCCATTTCACGATCTATGCCACCAGTCGCATCCCAGTTCCTTTTTCACCAGGCTTTGGCGGTACAGAAACAGCACGTCCTTCAGCTTCAGCATTGCTAACCATATCCCTATTGGGATTCATACCCGCATTGGGGCTTCTGCAACCAAGGCCTCTTCCAGATGTACTTCAGCGTCGGGAATCACCTCTTCCAACACCGATCTTTCACCCAGAGACTCAGCTGCACCATTTCCAGCTCCACCATCTTGTCCACCATCCGAGGCAAGTTGGAGCCATCGCTTCGGAGAAGGCATTGCTTCTTGATCCCAAAACCTTGAAAGAACACTTAACCGCAGGGAACCTAATTTGGGCTCATAACCTACGGGGGGACAACCAAGGAAGGAAATCAACTCCCCTAATCGCCCTGAACTTATATTTCCTAGATCGAACCAAGAAACAACCAAGAACACGGATAAGAGCAACCCAGGGGGGAAGGAAAAGGGGAAGGAATCCACACCCTTACCAAACCCTAAGAACCCAGGCACTTCTTTTTGAACTTGTGGCTTTCTGTTCAAGCCCATCTTGAGCCAAATACGATTACCGGGTTCATTAACCCTTCCAACTTCCAACACTAACTCCTTTCAACAATACCAATTGCAGCTCCGCATCGGGCTTAGGGGGTTTAGGGTTATGGGTTTGCTTTCGGGTTTAGGACTAAGAGCCGCGAGTCCTGGAGCTCTTGAACTCTGTGGGTTCTACTGCCTTTCGAGCAACTTGGAACCCCAAGGCCCCACGGTTTAGGGTTTAGGGTTTGGGGTTTAGGGTTTAGGGTCTAGGGTCTAGGGTTTAGGGTTTAGGGTTTAGGGTTTAGGGTTTAGGGTTTAGGGTTTAGGGTTTAGGGTTTAGGGTTTAGGGTTTAGGGTTTAGGGTGTCTCAATGAGTGGGCGCGCTGGTGCTGAAAGCACCCAGGCGCGCGCCCCGAGTTGCATAAGCCCACCCCCGCTGGCGCTCCACCCTCGCCTTAACCTCTACGGGTTTAGGGTTCTTTTGAACTCTGATCGTGCTTTTGTTATTTTTTTCTTGTTTATTGGTTGGGTTTAGAAGCAAAAGTCAGAGGTTTGGGATTGGGCTGGCTGCCGCCATCGCGCCTGAAGTCAAAGGGGTGGGATGGGCGGTTGCTGCTGCCTTCGCTTTCGCTGATGCTGCAGCTGGACCTTGTTGGAGTCGCGGTGGCCTTGTGAGTCTTTTTGAAGTCAAAAACCCAAAATGGGCTTGGGGCTGGCTGCCGCCTTCGCCCTTGGTGATGCTGCGTCCTGTTGGGGATCTGGATCCCTTGCTTGAAAGGGCCAGGCACCTCAGGCCAAGGCCTGTTTTTCAGGCAGGGTTCAGGCAAAAGGGGCAAGCAGGAGATCGGGGCCATAGCCTCCCAGCAAGTTTTTCTCAAAGTTAAAAACCCGAAGGTTTGGGCTTGGGGCTGGCTGCCGCCTTCGCCCGTGCATGCTGCGTCCTGGCTGGGGATCCGGATCCCTTGCAAAAGACCTCAGACCAGCCAAGGCCAGGGCAGTTTGGGATTGGGCTGGCTGCCGCCTTCGCGCCTGAAGTCAAAGGGGTGGGATGGGCGATTGCTGCTGCCTTCGCTTTCGCTGATGCTGCAGCTGGACCTTGTTGGAGTCGTGGTGGCCTTGTGAGTCTTTTTAAAAGTCAAAAACCCAAAGGTTTGGGCTTGGGGCTGGCTGCCGCCTTTGCCCTTGGTGATGCTGCGTCAGCTGATGGTGCAACTTTTGTTATTTTTGTCTTTTACCCAGGCAGGGGGCCTCCCAGGCAGGGGGGCCTCCCAGTGAGTTTTTCTCAAAAACCCGAAGGTTTGGGCTTGGGGCTGGCTGCCGCATTCGTTCTTGGTGATGCTGCGTCTTGCTTGGGGATCCTTTAGGTCAGGCAAAAGGTCGGCAAGCAGGAGATCCTTTCAGTCCCATTCCGGCAAGCAGGAGATGCTAACAGTGCTAGGCTGACAGCCTCCTAGTGAGTCTTTCTCAAAAACCCGAAGGTTTGGGCTTGGGGCTGGCTGCCGCAGTCGTCCTTGGTGATGCTGCGTTCGGTTGGGGCTCTGGCTCGAAAGCCTGCTTTTCAGGCTAGGCAGGGGCCTCCCAGGCACAGGGGCCAGGCAGGGGGGCCTCCCAGGCAGGGCCTCCAGGCAGGGGCTCGCAGGCAGGGGCCTCTTAGCTGGGACCTCTCAAGCAGGGGCCTCCCAGGCAGGGGCCTGCCAGGCAGGGGCCTCCAGACAGGGGCCTCCCAGGCACTCCCAGGCGGGCCTCCAGGCAGGGGCCTCTCAGGCAAGCCAGGCAGGGGCCTCCCAGGCAGGGGTCGGCCTTCAGGCAGGGGGCCTCCCAGGCAGGGGCCTCCCGGCAGGAGGTTGCGATGTTTTATCCGAAGGTTTGGGGTATCTTATTCTAGGGCGACCTGACGGGTTTCTCGCCAGCGACCTGCCGGGTCCACCGCGCAGCCCGCAGCTGCCTGCGGGACTGTAGCTCCGTCGCCCGCCGGAGGGCTTCTGGCTCCGGAGCTGCCTCGCCTGCCGGCTTCGGCGCGTTCGCCCTGCTCGACGGCCCCGGGCTCACTCAGTTTAGGGTTTAGGGTTTAGGGTTTAGGGTTTAGGGTTTAGGGTTTCGGGTTTAGGGTTTAGGGTTTAGGGTTTAGGGTGTCTCAATGAGTGGGCGCGCTGGTGCTGAAAGCTCCCAGGCGCGCCCCGATTTGCATAAGCCCACCCCCGCTGGCGCTCCACCCTCGCCTTGACCTCTACGGGTTTAGGGTTCTTTTGAACTCTGATCGTGCTTTTGCTATTTTTCTCTTGTTTATTGGTTGGGTTTAGAAGCAAAAGTCAGAGGTTTGGGATTGGATTGGCTGCCGCCATCGCGCCTGAAGTCAAAGGGGTGGGATGGGCGGTTGCTGCTGCCTTCCCTTTCGCTGATGCTGCAGCTGGACCTTGTTGGAGTCGCGGTGGCCTTGTGAGTCTTTTTGAAAGTCAGAAACCCAAAGGTTTGGGCTTGGGGCTGGCTGCCGCCTTCGCCCTTGGTGATGCTGCGTCCTGTTGATGATCTGGATCCCTAGCTTGAAAGGGCCAGGCACCTCAGGCCAAGGCCTGTTTTCAGGCAGGGTTCAGGCAAAAGGTTTCCGGCTCAGGGCTAGTGAGGGCCAGCAAGGGCAGGCAGGGCCTCCCAAGCAGGGCCGGCCTCCAGAAAGGGCCTCTCAGCAGCCCATCCAGGGTCTATCAGCAAGGGGTCTTCCAGGCATCAGGCAGGGGCCTCTCAGGCAGGCCTCCCAATCAGGCCTTGGATGCTAAGCAGCAAGCAGCGGCCTCACAGCCTCCTAGAGCCACCAAACCCCTCCCAGGCAGGCGGCTTGCCATGCCAGGCAGGCAGGCCTCCCTGCAAAGGGCCTCCAGGCAAGACCTCCCAGTCCAGCGGCCTCCCCAGGGGCCTCCCAGGCAGGGGGCCTCTCAGGCAGGGGCCTCCAGGCAGGGGT